CCCCCTCCCCCCCCCCCCCCCCCTTTTCGTTTTTGTTTTTAGCTCAGGTCCCCGACGATGAACAGTTTGTCCCAGATTTCCAGTCCGACAACTGTAAGTAATCAGGCTGCTTTTTTTTTTTGGTGTGTGTGTGTGGTGGGGTTGTTCTTTGTGATGGAAACGCGCGGGTGCAAGACGCCACGCTCGGTTCGGAGCCGCTTCCGTGGCAAAGCGGTTGTTGCCGGGGCAGGAGCCGCACGGGCGTATCAGTGCCGTTCTGGGCTCTTCGGGGTGCAACTTGCAGTGTCCTGACCCTCACAAAAAGGAGGAGTACAGCCAGGTGCACGGCAATACCTCTCGCTGGTCTCTGGGCTCCTCTGAGACTCTCTGCTTGTTCGTAGTAACGTCGATTTGCTTATAAACGCTCCTTTTCAAGTGGATGTGAAAGCCCGTGCTGGGCTTGTGGGTTAGCCACAATCTCTGCAGTCTCTAGTTTCTTTTTACAGCCCTGGCCTAGCGCTTTTGGCAAGAGCGGACCTGAGCAGTGAAACCTGAGCCGCTTTAAGCAGCATTAATCACTGGCAAGCAAGCGTATTTAAAAGGAGGCCAGTGCAAATGCAGTCCCGCTTGAATTGCATAAGAGAGCGAGCGCGCGCGAGTTGTTTCTTAGCCGTGCTTCGTTGCCCGAAGCGGTCAGGGGCGAGGGCAGGGGCTGGCGCGCGGTGCTCGACGGCCCGTCGTGTCAGCGCGCCTCTCCGGCGCTGACTGCCCTGGAAGGTGGGGGCAGATCGGCGTGTTTTGAATCGTTACCTGGAAAACATAAGTAGTGGCTTGGGGTTGGTGGATGGGTTTTGCCGCTGAGGCAGACGGCTCCAGAACTTGAAGGAAATCAAATTTAGCCTGCAGTCGAACAGATTTTTCATTCCAGCTTTGTCACAGCATGCAGCAGAGTGCCTTATACTACAGTAAATGCATGTTAATTATTGCTCTTTGATTACTTCTAAGTGAGTGGGAAGCTTGCCATTAAACCGTTCCAGACAACCCAAGTTTTCAGATGCGTTTTTTTATTTTTATTACTATTTCTTTTTTTTTTCTTTTTAAATCCCCCTTCTGTCCTGAGATAAAAGGCGAGCCCGAAGTCAGAAATGCAACTCGCTGTTGACATCCTAGTGCAGCCCGTCAGCTCTTGCTTGGAGCGGTATAAACTGCAGCATGCGTGGGAGGGTGGCTCTTATAGCTGAAGCTGTTTCCAGTGCCTTTTGGCAGTCTCTTGTTTCCTTGTAACCTGAAGAGCTCAGAGGGAAGAGACAGACATTTCTGGGCTATGCAGGGGAGAAGGGAGGGGGGGGAAAAAAAAAGCATTTGGTCGAGACTTTTAATGTACTTCTAACCTGCTCTGCCTCTGCGGACCCTGAATTACCGGTGTTGAAATGACTTTGTCACCTGAAAGGAGCTCTCTCCGCGGGTCTTCCTGCTGTACTAAGCTTCCTTGACTGTCCTGGGGGGGTAAGTCCTGCTGTACTAAGCTTCCTTGACTGTCCGGGGGGGGTAAAGCAAGCGTGGCCCTCGCTGTTGAGCGGGGGACGGCGTGGGCTGGGGGCGCGTGGCTG